GGGGGGGGGGGGGGGGGTTGGTCCTTGCAGGACCAGGTGGCTAGGATTTATGCACTATAACCCTAAACCCTAAATGCGGTACTTACTCTAGTCACACTTACGAAGTCCCCTGATCCGCCAGTAATTTTGAGAATAAGTTGTAGAATGATACGCTCGACAAACGAGTCGCATACCACTATCCATAGCAAAATAACCAGCTTCCGCTACCTCATTACAGCAGCACACATTTAGAGGGCACAACACCCCCTTCTTAATAAGGAGCATTGAATCACTTCCATCGGTCTCCTAAACCCTGAACCCTAATCGCTACACGCCCTAAACCATAAACCTTAAACCCGAAGCCCAGCACTAATGGAAATGTAGAGCTCTTGACAAAACAAAGAGGATTTTGGGGGCTCCTTATTATGATAATAGTATAATATACTTCAAACCCTATTCTAAACCCTAAACCCTAAACCCTAAACCCTAAATCCTAAACCCTATCGCGCTCCCTGGCTTCCCCGTCGGCCTGCTTTCGCCGGCCAGCCTGCACCGCAGTCGGAGAAGCTGCTGCCTGAAGTTTGAGGGTTTAGGGTGTAGGGTTTAGGATTTAGGGTTCAGGGTCTAGGGTTTAGGGTTCAGGGTTTTTTTTTAAAGTGCACCGGCCTTTCACACTGTTAGCGCGTCTTGCCTGCCTCATTGAGGCTTACACCAGAAAGGGCACACACCCCCAAAGTCAAGCATTTGCCCAACTTCATAGAGCATGTTTCACCCCAACACATGAGCAGCCAGTCACACAGAAACAGACTGCTTGCATCTCATATCACTGTTCAGAAGAGGCACATACCAAAGTAACATCCCAGCTCAAGAAAGCACTCTAGCACAGCTTCCCGGGTTCAGGGTTTAGGATTTAGGGTTTAGGGTTTAGGATTTAGGGTTCAGGGTCTAGGATTTAGGGTTCAGGGTCCAGGGTTTAGGGGTTTAGGGTTTAGGGTTTAGGATTTAGGGTTCAGGGTTTAGGGTTTGGGGGCTTAGAGTTTAGGGTTCAGGGTTTTGGGTTTAGGGTTTAGGGTTTAGGGGCCATAGCTCGAGGGCTCGGGCTTGAAGTTCTGCGGGGTTTTAGGACAAAGCTCAAGAGCTCGGGGCTTTTGGATTGAGGTTTTATGGTTCAAGGCCGTTGGGAGTTGAGGGCTCCGGTGGAAGCCCTAAACCCTAAACCCTATACCCTGAGCCCGGCGCCTTCGGTGATGTCGTTGAAGGCGGAGAGGTGACTGTAGATCCTAGGAAGCTGTCGGCAGTATCCAGGGTTTAGGGGTTTACGGGTTTACGGGTTTAGGGGTTTACGGGTTTACGGGTTTAGGGGTTTAGGATTTAGGGGTTTTGGATTTAGGGGTTTAGGGTTTAGGGTTTGTAGATGCAAGTTAGGCTATGAAAAACGCAACGAGAGCATCTGAAGTGGGTGTCCAGAAGGTGGGTACCCTACATAGTTACGGGTCTCGACTTGGGTTGGAAACTCTCTTGGAACTGACTGCCTGCTGCCTGGTACCAACCGCTGTAGATCCGTTCGAAAGGCCTTTAGGGGCTATCTGCTGGACTGCATGCCTAAACCCTAAACCCTAAACCCTATCTAAAGCCTAATGGTACAGGTACAGAAGGCAAAGCCACTAGGCGAAGTCGCAGTTGATCACTCCGGCGTCCCGGGCTCCGAGACCCGCCTGCAATTACTACAACCCTTCAAATTTTGGGAGTTAGGGTTTAGGGTTTAGGGTTTAGGGTTTAGGGTTTCGGGATGTCAGAAAGTGCCAAGCAAGTCAGCTCGGCAGACTTCGGCCATAATCATTACCATTGGCAGGCTCTAGAGCTAACTGGCTAATGCACGTCGCCAGGCTACGAATGTCACTGAACCAATTGCTTGGGTACTGCCCCCCATACAGCAACCGTCTATAATCGGGCCTTGGATATCTATATAATATACAATATTATATATGTACATAAATAAATATATATATATATATATACATTCACCTGCTACTGAGTGGGGGCAGTATCCAACCTTTTCATACAGAGTAAACCCTGAACCCTACACCCTAACCTTTTAACCCTAAACCCTAAACCCTATACCCTATAAGCCCTTAACCCTAAACCCTACACCCTATAAGCCCTAAACCCCACACCCTAACCTATTAACCCTAAACCCTAAACCCTTTACCCCATAAAAGCCCAAACCCTAAAGCCTAAACCCTAAACCCCTAAACCCTAAACCCTATACCCTATAAGCCCTAAACCATAACAAATCTCATAAGCCAACAGCAGCCCGAGGATCCCCGGCAAAGGCTTCTTCGAGTTCGCGATATAAAGCTCTAAAAAAAAACAGTGCAGCCCTAAATTGCTACAGCCCTCACAGCGGTTTAGGGTGTAGAGGTTTAGGGTTTAGGGTTAAGTGTTGCCGGAAACCTCAATCCAAGTTTAGTCTACGTCTTCTTATGAGTACCGTAAATGGAGGTCTAAGTAAAGATAACCAAACTTTCCCAGTTCTACCAGTCCTCTGATCTTTTAAATGCCAAGCCCTAAACCCGGAAACCCTAAACCCTAAGCTCAAAAAACATAAGCGACAATGCCTACCCCGAAAATCCAGGTGCCCCGGCAGAGGGTTCAGGAAGCCCAAAGTGGAGGCGTTCTTCTGAAGCCGGAGATCATTCAGCAGGGCGATCTGGAAATTCAGCGTTGGGGAGTTTAGGATTTACAGGTTGAGGGGTTTAGGATTTACCGGGTTTTGTTATTGCAACATTTGTGGTGGCTTCGGGGGCTGTACGCTTCTTTAAGGCGCCACCAACATAACCTGAACATGAAATTCTGAGGGTAACATAACCCACAACCCACGCAAACAGAGACAGACAGAGACACATTCTGCATGCTGATGGTTGGCCCCGAAAACCTGATGTAGGGGCCTTCATCAGTAGAATAGGGTCTCCGGTGTGCATTATCGACCAACTACATTGAAACAGCCGGTCGGACATGATTTCTACCTGGCTTATTAGTGTTTAGGGATTTGCAGGGCTTACCCTAAACCCTAAACCCTAAACCCTAAACCCTAAACCCTTTATGGACATGACACATGGGAGAGCGAAACTCAGAGGCGCACCACACCGGCTGCTGTCGGCGAGGCGCAGCTAGTGCCGGACCTCAGTAGACAGCTCATCCAGATAATACTTGGGCTATAGGATTTAGGGTTTAGGGTTTAGGGTTGAAGCTTAAATGTAAGGCTAGATAGATTCTTGGCGAAATCATGGTATAGCTAGAAAGGGAGCGTCAGGGGTTTGTTACAAATTAATTTGTTGTGGTTTGTTGTCGCTTACAATTGCGTAAATTGGCCATTACGGAAACAGAGAGTGTCCTTGGCGACGAGCTGTTCTGGAGGCCTGAACCATTCGTAGTGAAATCCGCTTGAGGTCCCCACATAACTATGCCCGAATATACCCCCAAAACCCATACCGCAATGTCCCGGTCCTGGGGTCTTCCAGGCCCCCGGCACCCCCGGCACGGGTAGGCCAGCAATGACCAAGAACCTCGTGGCCTCTTCAAACACAAGTCTTTCGAGATTTCTCCGTGACTTGGGCGTGTGGCTCTAAACCAAAAACCGTGCAATCTGGAAGCGTGAATGGTTGGTGTACGGTTTTGCCTGTGTCTATACTACAAGTATGCTAAGGAACCGCAGAGAACAGTATTACGACCCTATAAAGCCCTCTTCAAGTCCCTCAAAAGCCTTCTGAAACGGTGTAGAGTCTTGTCTTAGTTGAATACCAAAAACCCCGGTGTTAGGCTATAAGGTTGCAAAAAGGCAGTGCTCCATGGAGCTCAGTGACGTAAAGGTTGAGGGGTTTAGGGTTTACGGGGAATCCAGAAGTGACTTGTTGAGGTTTCCACAAAGGCTTATAAGAGGCGTCTGGGGCTTGCTTCGCACCTCAGCAAGTAGTGCTGTGCACTTACTGCAACTGAACTTATACTTGCGCACCCTAAACCCTAAACCCCAAACCGTGATCGTGTAATTGTGGCTGGTGGGGGTTGAAGCGCCAGAACCCTGCAGCCGCCTGAGCGGAGATGTCCGGGTAGGCACGGCCGGAGACCTGGGTTGAGACAACTTCTACTGTTTTCTCATGCTATATTGTGCTCTTGTGTAATGTCAATGATGTATTGTGTTGTTCTAAACTGTTTACATATGTTCTGGTGTTTTTTGCTTTACTGTTTTAGCATTTAGGGCTTAGGCGTTAGGGCTTCGAGCTTAGGGACTTTAGGGCTCAGGGGCTCTAACTCCGGACCTTCTCAGGGGGCTCGGGGTCTGCCCGGTGGGTCCCCGACATACTTCTTGTATCTTTATTTAGTAGGGTTTAGGGTTTAGGGTTAAGTTTACAAGNNCCCCCCCCCCAAAAAAAAAAAGCAGTTCTAGAGGGGAGTCTATGAGCCTAAAAAAATGAAAAGTGTGCTCCCTCAGCTACTAAGTATCTCGACCGATGTGACCCTCATGTTGGCTGTGCTCAAAGACCTATCAGCTCCATTCTGCGGGTTTAAGGTTCAGGGGGGCTGCGGCTCTGGGGCAAAACATATCAAGAAGACAAACAAGAGCAAGAGCAAAAACAGAAATGACCACGACAGCAGCAGCAGCAGCCACGCGGCCACAGCCGCCGCAGGCCAAATGTCAGCAAGCAGTGTTCGATGGTGGGTCACAGAGGCGCCGAAAAAATCTCCCCAGCTTTTCGCTCAACGAAGACCCCCCAAGATGCTAATATCCAATACTAAAGCACTAGCGCATGCCCTGAACCCTACACCGCACTTGTAACCCTGCAAGCCCAAGCGCTGCAAACCCTACAACCCGAAGTATTTCAGCCCTACAGCGTTGCCGGGAGGCATTGTATCCCCGGCTCTTGGGTGGCAGGCCCTCGTTCTTGAGGTAAGCAGCCACGGCGTCCTTCCTCGGAAGGGTAGACGGGTCTGGGGGCCTGGGTTTCCGGTCAGCCGATACCGACGCAGTCGTCGCAGCACGGTTGCGCAGTGGAAGCGGTCGCTACATCAGTATGGCATAAGTGGTTTCACAATTACATGCCTACCTGCTGGCGGCTTTAGTTTCTGCTCTCAGAGTGCCATCCAAGCTGCTGGTAGTCGGGCATGGGCCAGTAGCTGCCTCAAGGTCTGTCGTCAACTGAAGCTGACCTATGGTCTCTATTCTAGTTCCTGCCGTTGACTACGTACCGCGGCTTTTTGTCCTAGTTTCCCAACCATAAAAGACAGAGAGAAAGAGAGAGAGAGAGAGGGAGAGGGAGATCTTCAAGTTTTGAATGTTGGGTTTGTGGGGCTCTGGGGTGGGGCACGTCCGGGGGCGGAGGGGTGAAGGTGCCTAGAGTTCCGTGGTCAGGCGCTTAGTTTCGGAGACTGCCTGTCGCATACTGGTGCATATTATTGTTGTCATGTTTACTGATACTGCACTTCTACTATTTTTGCTATTACTACCAATATTTTTCGTCTTATTACTATTGTTTTAAATATTGTCGGTATTAATACTAGTAATATGACTAGTTTTCAATTCGCACTATGATTCCTTATTGCAACAATAGAACCTAACTTTACAGCTTTCGTTTGTGCTTCGGCTTTTGGGTTTCAGGTCTAACCGAAGCTTCTTAATAACGCCCTCTCCTGATAACCCCCCCCTCAAAAAAAGAAGCAGCACTCACGCCCATGCTGCCCTTTTAGCAACCCTCATAATACGAGTGTTAAGTCATTCTATTCCCTTATAGTAGCACAACAGTGAATCGTACTCCCTTGCAGAGACCTTCTTACTGATAGTTTTCGCGAGAAACCCTCATCGTAACCCTCATGACTCATAAGACCTTCCCAAATCCTAAACCCTAAAACCCTAAACCCTGAGAACCCCAAACCACAAAAATCCGAAAACCCCAAAGCCCTCAACCCTAAACCCCGAAACCCCAACGCTCTCAGCCCTAAACCCTGAAACCCTCAGAAGAAATTCGTCGAAGCCATCGGAAATCCGCCAGGAGGCTGAAGCCGCCCGAGCTGAGACCAATGGCCTTCTCTGCCTCTCAAGGGTTCCCCTAAGGATCCTGGAGTGATTCCTTAAAGGGTTCCTTTTTAAGGGTTCCTTAAAAGGTTCCCTTTTAAGGGTTCCTTAAAGGATTCCATTAAGGGGTTCCTTCAACAATTCCCTCTAGGGTTTCCTTAAAGGGTTCCTTTTGAGGGCTTGTTTAAGGATTCCTTTAGGGGTTCCTTTAAGGGGTTCTTGAAGGGTTCCCTTAAGGGGTTCCTTTAAGGCGTCCGTGAAGGGCTCCCTTCAGGGTCCTCTCTGGTAAGGGTTTTCTGGGGGTTCACGGTTTTTTGGGGGTCTAAGACTCTTGTTTAGGGTTTAGGGTTTAGGGTTTAGTCTTGGGCATCTGTGAGACTGTATAAGGGCTCTCGACGGCTGATATGAGCTTGATGTAACTGTTCTTTCTATATGGCTTCACTCAGGCTTCAGGGCGTCTGGGGCTGAGGGCTCAGGAGTAAAGCTTTAAGATTTCGGGTTCTTGCGAACTTATTTCAAGGATTTGACGTAGTAAACAAGTAACTACAGCGACACATACACCATTAGACACCTAATCCAGGTGCCTATAACAGTCATACATATGACTGTGCGTCAGCGTTCGACAGCTTGTATGAACACGGAACCACAGAACCGTAAACCGCGAAACCCCAAAACCCCAAACCCAAAAAACTAAGACCTTGAAAACCTGAACCCTAAACCCCCAAACCCTAAACCCGTAGACCCCCAAACCCCCAAACCCTAAACCCTCCCTGATTCAAAAACACCGCTGGTGAGTGGGTTTTTGAGGCTCGGGGGCATGGTGGGGCGAGATTCGGGTCGCAGAGGATGTTGCTGTTTCGGGAGAAAGGGGTTTAGGGTTTAGGGCCTGTTTAGGGGCTTGAGGGGTTTAGGGGCTTTAGGGGCTTTAGGGTTTAGGGTTTAGGGGCTTCAGGGGTTTAGGGTTTAGGGTTTATGGGCTCTCGGCTTTAGGGCTTGGGGGTTCCTTCTAGGTTTTGAGGTCGGCATCGCCGCTAAAGCCTAAACACCAAGTCTCAAACTCTGTGAACAAAACACCCTGAACCCGGGTTTACGGTTTAGGGTTTAGGATTTAGTTCAAGGTTTAGGGCTTAGGGCCTATAAGCCCTAAACCCCAAACCCTAGACCCCAAATCCGAAACTCTGTCAACACGAAACCCTGAACTCCAAGGCACTGAATTGATTTTGGTTTTGCGGGGATCTGGCACTCGACCTAAAAAAATGTATCTTTGGGTATCGCGCTCTTAAGCACAGGGCTACTAGAAGGCTTATTACATGGTGACGATAAGGCTTCTCAAGGGTTCTGTAAGGACTCTCTGACATATATATATATATATATATATAGATACAGAGATATATATATATATATATGTATACATGATATATAAGGACCTTATAATAACTCGAAAAAGATATTGGAGAAAGCCAAGGAATAGTATAACTCATTTATTCCCCTATCAAACCCTCGCCAGACACCCCCATGATCCAGCAGAAACCCTCATCAACCGACTTCAGCAAATTATGTTTATCATTCCCTACAGCCTAAACAGACCCTAAACCCGAAACCCTAAAAACTCAAGGCCCTCCCCTCTGCTATACCAAACCCTAACCCCAAAGCCCCCTCTCTTCCTAAAGAGGGAACTGGAGGGACCCCTTAAAGGGAACCGTAGGGTTCGAAAATATGGATCCCTTTTAAAGGGAGCTATGGAACCCAAACTGCAGGATCACTTTTAAAGGGGGACTATGGATCCATACTATAGGATCCCGTTTGAAGGGAACTATGGATCCCTAAGGCAGGATCCCTTAAAGTAGGGTCCCTTTAAAAGGAAACTGTGGATCCCTTTTGAAGGGAACAAAAGGGTTCCTTCTATTCGGCTCAAGCCGCCTCTGTCCCGGGCTTCGGCCACGTCTTCCCTGCAGTGCAGCACGGACGCTCCCACCGGTGGCGTACGGTTTGGGGTTTGGGGTTCAGGGTTTAGGATTTGGGGTTTAGGGTTCAGGACTTTTTTTGGAGCTCCTTTCCCGCTAGCCCAGGTCAATCGCCAACTAAAGGAGGCCCAAGGCGACAAAGAAAGCATCCAAGCACTTCAGGGCTTATGACTTAGGTTTGAGAGCTTAGGGTTGCTTGGGTTTAGGGGTTGAGGGTTTCGGGCTGCGGGCCTAGGGTTGAGGGTGTAGGGTTTGGGCTTGACAAGCTGAGGGTTTAGGGGTTTGGGGTTCAGGTGTAGGGGGGGTTTCTGTACGGCTTCTTTCAAGGGTCACGGGACTGAGGAAGTACGGCACATCATGCATGAGAGTTACAGTTAGATGTTAGATGATAAACCCTAAACCCACCAAAAACCTTTTAAATCCTGTAAGACGCTTTCAGGCCCATTAATATAGGGGACTTAACAGTTAGAATAGGGTTTGGGGATATATTATACTATACTTATAACAAGGAACCCGCAAAAACCCTATTCTAATTATTAAGGCCCCCACATTAACCTTATGAGCCTTGTGAACTTTACAAACTTTTTAATGCAACTCTGTAAACCCGATGAGCCCAATAAACCCCAAACTTCAAAGATCCGATGAACCTTTAACCTCTGTAAAGCCTTAAGTTTACGAAAACCGCAGACACCCTAGCACGGTTTAGGGCTTAGGGTTTAGGGTTTAGGGCTTAGGGTTAGCCCTGAAAACCTGCAAGCCACCCTAAAACCCTCTAAACCCCGAACCCTACAACCCCGTAAACCCGAAAAGCCCCATGACCCAAGACCTACAGCCCCTCAGCCCAAAACCCTCTTAAGTACCTATAAAACCTCTATATATCCTAAACCTGATAAACCCTAAAACCCCCATAACTAAACCTGATAAACCCTATAAGCCCCCTTACATACCCGAGAAGCCCTCCTCTCGCAAAGACCGTCGAAGTCCCTTTATGAACCCTAGAAGCCCCTATAGAGACCCTATAAGTCCCCGTTAGGGTTCAGGGTTCAGGGTTTAGGGTTTAGGGTTTAGGGTTCAGGGTTCAGGGTTCAGGGTTCAGGGTTTAGGGTTTAGGGTTTAGGGTTAGTTTAGGGTTTCGGGTTCAGGGTTTAGGGTTCAGGGTTTAAGGTTTAGGGTCCTTGTAAACCCGCGAAAACCCCTGTGCCCTGCCTGGGGCAGTGCCTCCCACAGCTGTGACATACGGCGACGAGCCAGGTCCTCCAGCTCTAAGGACTTCCTTTGAACGTACTATAAAGATTCTATAAAGAGTTCCTTTAAATATACTATAAAAACTCTACCAAGGGTTCCTTTAAATATACTATACAGATTCTATATTGGGTTCCTTCAAAAATACTATAAAGACTCTGTAAGGGTTTAGGGTTTAGGGTATACTAGAGTCTCCTTTTTATGGGCGCTCAAAAATAAGGGGTTTCGGGTCGAAGGCTCCCTTTAGGGCTGCCTTCAGCGCTCCTTTTCGTTCTGGGCTTCCCTAACCCTGAACCCTAAACCCGATAAACCCTGAACCCTAAACCCCATAAACCCTAAACCCTATAAACCCTGAACCCTAAACCCTAGCCCTAAAACCTGAACCCTAAACCCTATAAGCCCTGAACCCTAAGCCCTATAAGCCCTGAGCCCTAAACTTTTCAGGTTCCTTGTATGGCTTACGGTATTTAAGGCTTTTGGGGCTAGGAGACCGGGGGTTTTCGAGCTTTTAGGGTTTAGGGTTTTGGGGGTTTATTTAGGGTTTTAGGGTTTAGGGTTTAGGGTTTAGGGTTTAGGGTTTAGGGGTTTGGGGTTTATGGTTTAGGGTTTGGGGGTTTTGGTGGTTTAGGGTTTTGGGGTTTAGGGTTTAGGCCTTAAGACCTCCATGGAGGGGTTGGAGCGGGTTGGGGCTTAGGGCGTAGAGCTTGCAATGTGTGGGTTTAGGATTTCGGCTATACATTAAGGCTTGGGATTTACGGTGTTGAAGACAGCTTGTGGCTTGTTTGTTGACTTGGTTATCGTAGTGCAAGGTACTGTAGGTAGTTCTCTATATTCGGGTCCCTTTGTAAATCCCAGACCCTTACAAAAAAGGATCCTAAAAGGGACCCTAATTTAGAGAACTACCCATGTAGGTGCTTCGACGAAGTGTTCCTTTCTACGGGGTGTGGGGCTTCGGAATGTTTAGAGTTTGTCCAGCACCTAAGGCCTGTGTCAAACCATCGGGGGGGCTTAGTAAGTAGAGTTATACCTAGGTCAACTTCATTTACAAGTACTGAAAGCCCGAATTAACGTATTTCTTGCCTTTTGCAACCACTCATGAAACCTCCAAAGCCTTTGTACACACGAGATGAGTTTGGGGCAACCCTGAAAAGAAAATGGTGAAGGGTTAGGGGTCCAAACACTACATCCCTAAATACCCTAAACAACACTAGACAAAAACAGCCAACAACTCAAAATCCTACAAGACCCGTCAGGATCAGAAACTCGAAGACCGAACTCCGGTAGTGGAATCCGGTGTCTCCTTCTGGGACAAAGACTTCGCCCTCGCAGTTCCTTAAGGCAAGATGGAAGGATTCGGTGGGCGGTTCAGCTTGGGGTTCAGGGCTCAAGGTAAGTAGGGCTCGAAGATTTGTTTAAAGCGGAAAGAGTCCGCAACTGCCGTGGGGTGCCAAATCCCATAACGAAGGCGTGAGCCCTGAATGCTGGACTCTATAAGTCTATAAGGGTTTAGGGTTTCGGATAACCCTAAACATCCCTGAACCCCAAACCCTCAACCCCTCAACTCTGAGCCCTGTAGCCCTAAACCCTGAAACCCTAAAGGCCTCTAAACCCTCAGCTCCTAAACCCCTCAACCCCAAAACCTTACGTGGTGCTCAACCCTGCCAAAAGTGCACCATCCCGTCCCACCCGTCAGCCGAGCGAATGGAGGCATCTTCGCTTCTGGTTTTTGTCTTACAGCGGTTTGGGGGTTGGCTTAAGGTTTCAAGGGGTTTTGGGTTTAGAGTTCTATCTGTATTTGGGGTTCAGGAGCCATTATGTTCGCTTTCCATAGACCTTAGGCGCGTAAGCTTGACGCACAATGCATCGCAGCGCAACATGTTCACAGACCTTAGTACTCTGGCCCCTATGGCAGCACTCAGCCTAGGCTGATGGCTCAGCGTGGGTCACCGGAGCACTTCAAGCAAGCCCTTGTAGAAACCTCACAAAGGGGATCTTTAAGGGGAACTGTAAGGCTTACTGTAGGGAGCCCAAAAATGGCGATCCACAAGGGCACTTCCTTTCAAAGGATCGATCAGTGACTTACTTACAAGACACCTTGCCCCACTAATCTATGGAACCATTCCGCCAGCCCGACAACCCAAATATCAAGCCAAAAAATCCCGAAACCATATT